TCGGTCAAAAGGTTTTTTTATTTAATTCCAAATTTAAACTTTTTGCAGGAAAACTCAAATCAAAATGGCTCGGACCGTTTACAGTTACTCAAGTATTTCCTCACAGTGCTGTTGAAATTGAAGATAACTCAGGAGTACGATTTAAAGTTAATGGTCAATGATTGAAGTCATATTATGAAAATACTCCGGTTGGTCTAATCGAAGAAATCAATTTAGAGGAACCCACGCTTTGAAAAATCAGGTCGTCGAGCTAACGACGTTAAACAAAAGCGCTTGATGGGAGGAAACCCATTTCGTTATATTTTTGTTTTTATTTTTTAATTTTTGTTTTATTTTTTTAGCGAACTTTATTCTATTCTATTTATTTTATTTTGATTAATTTTATTTTTCTGAACAGATCTGAATTCCGATCGAATATTTAACGAAAAAAAATAGTGCATAAAAACTGACTTGGTTTGAACTGTGCAGAAAAATTCGAACAGAACAGTGCAGAAAAAACTGATTTGGTTCGAACAGTACAGAAAAATACACAACATAATCAAACAATGCAGTGCAGGAAAAAAAACATATTTGGTTCGAAATGTGGAGAAAAGTTCGAACAGAACAGTGCATCATCGGACAGTCTACTCTACAATAGCTCGTCTCGACGTGGCCGTGATCGCCACTAGATTGGGGAATGTTCTTTTTTTTCCTCTCTTTGTTTTTAAATTTGATATACGTTTTAGGAAAAAACGGAATAAGTGAAAAGGGAATGATAAGAATGTGTCAAATTTTTCTTGACTTGTTTAATCGTTTGAAATTGAGTTATTCTGATGTTGATATATTGTAATCGTTGGTTGCTAGTCTTGAATTTCGCTTTATACTCTTGCTTCCTTTTGGATTATGACCATGTTTTTTATCGAATTTAATTTGCATGATTGATGATTGATATAGCTAGTGAATTTTTTGTTGAGTATTGATATTTCATGCTTTTGTCAATAGAGATGAACTTGACTCAATGCATATAAACTTTTCTTGTGAGATTTGAGCCTAACGAGCATACATTTTCTTTCTTGCTCATTGTTTGACTTGTGTGTGCCGAACTAACTAGGATATTCTAGAACTTATAATCACAATGCATATCGAGACTACATGTTGAACGTAATGTTTTAATGTGATAGGGGCACCTAGGATAAACCCACTTTTCCCAAAAAAAACCTACCCATTTATATATCCACTAGTGAACCACATTTGAGCCTATTTCCCTTTCTTTGTTTTTACACCTCATAATTAAACTCGAAGCCTTTTTTTTCCTCTATTTTCACACCCTTACCGAGACTTGAGATCTTGTATCATTGTTGTTCCCAAAAAAAAAAGTTGTTCACTGTATCGAACAGCAAAAAAAGACCCTTTGTTCGAAAAAAAGGAAGGAAAAAAATCGATCGCTTCAATTGTCTTTCATCTATTCTTTTTCCTTGTTTTGTTCTTCATTGCACTTCATGTTAATTTGTGGATTGTTCTTAATTATTTTGATCTCTTGTTTCGGTATTTTAAATCTTTCTTTTCGGCCTTTCCCTACCCTAACCTAAGCCCCGTTACACCTTGTTTAAAGACCCCTTGATTATTGTATTATGTTCATTTTTCGTGGTGGAGACTTGATTGGATTCCAAGCCTATGGTAATATTTTGGTTAGTTTCGGTTTGAGCGGTTCCATTTACCCCAAACACTTTGAGCGGATATGTGTGAATCTTTGTGAGGTATTGAGTCATGTTTCATTGAAGTTGGCAATTAATTGAGATATCTTGCCTACTTTAAATTTTCTTGGTTATGTCTTTGCTTGATTGTAACTTGAATTCGGCAAATGTCATGGACTTAATTTGATTGGAAGTTTGAGGAATAAATTGAAATTGAAGATGACAACTTATGATTTTGATATGTTAATTGAAGAATGCTTGAGGACAAGCATTGAATAAGTGAGGGGGAATTTGATAAGTGCTTAATTTAGTTAATATTTTACTTTTAAATTACTCTTAATCATTAATTTTTGTGGCTTATTTGTTCATTTTAATTCATTTTCTGTACATGACGTAAGATTATGGAAATTGCACAAAAAGGACATAATTCTGCAGATTTTTTATTTTCAGAATCAAAGCTGGCTGGAATTCGGATTTGGATTAAACTCAAATTTAGGATAATATTTTAAACATTATATTTTATCTTTGTATTTTAGTTTAAATAGGTTTTTAGTATTTTAATTAAGTTTTAGGATATTATTTTTATTTTATCTTTGTATTTAGTTTAAATAGGTTTTAGTATTTTAATTAGGATTTAGAATATATTATTTTTTAGGTATTTTAGTTTAAATAGTTTTAAGTGTTTTAATTAGGATTTAAGATGTTTTAGCTTGTTTTTAGGATTTTGAAGGCTATAAATACCCTCTAAGGGTGAGCCTAGAAACAGATCTCTCTCATTTGAGAATAAAATCTTCTTTTTGTCTCTAGCTTTCTCTCTATTTTTCGCATACTTTTCTATTATGCTAAGCATGACTTTGGTTATGCTTAGCTAATTTTCTTTCAAGCCGAAGATTAAAGCGAAGGCTCAATTCCAAACGTGAGAATTGTAAGGTACTTAAATCGCTTCGGATTTTCTCTCTGTTTTCTAAAGCTTACTTTTCAAATCAAAACTATTTCGACATTGGTACGGATATTGTTATGGTTAATGTTTGAAGAATGATTTGCTTATTGAAGCATATTCAACTTCCCGATAACACATTTAGCAAAATTGTTTGCTAAGAGGAAACTAAGATCGGAATCAGTTGTTGTTGAAACGACACAATCCAAGTTGGCAGCGAAGAATTGCTCTTGTAAGCTTACGTGAATCTTAAAGTAAAAATTTGTTTCAATGATCTGAGGAATTTGAGGCGAAGCTGAAGTCTGAGGCTGCTTTCACAATAAGTTTCTCTTTATCTTAATCTCTTTAATTTGTTTATTTAATTATTTTTTCTTTTATTTATTTTTTATTTTAACCACAACTTAAAAAAATCCCCTTTATATTTATTACTATTACTATTTATTATTATATTATTATTTTATTTATTTATTTATTTTAATATATCTTTTTAACTTCATCTGGAATTCTATCTTTTTCTAAAATCAAGAAAGAGTTTTATTAAATCAGAAATACCACAGTCCCTGTGGATCGACCATACTTCTCTATACTATATTTTTATTTATTACGAAGCCAGGAATTATTTTGATAGCAAAACGACGGTTATCATATATTTTATTGTTGAAAGTCCTTTTTGTGCCTGAAAACAAGGGAAGATCGTTTAATTAAAGTTGTCTATATGAACATATTTACTTGAAATATATGCATAATGGTAATTCAAGGCTGCATATTTGTAATAACTTTGTCTTGGCTTTGTCTTTTCTGCTGAAGAACCTTGCACACTAGAAGCTTTACAATTAAAATAGGGAAGATATATGTGTCTGTGTGTGCTGGTATATGTCTCTGAGAGTGAGCTACAGTATGAGATAGAGACACGGATATGGGGGAGGGAGAGAGAAGCAGCAGATATTGTAATTTAGAAATTGGAAAAGAAGAAAGTTGTGTTATGACAATAGGACTCTAAAATGTATAATTTTAATCAAATTATGATTTTATTTATCTATTCATAATTCAAGCGGATATTCTAGTTTTTAGTTATTGGATTTTAATATTTCAATTCAAAAAAATTATCAAAGTATAGTTACTATTAAGGTTGACATATCTAACTTTGTCAACTCGAGAAATAAAATTCAAGTTCGATTCCTCATGCATCAAGTTTTCAAAGAAGAGTTGCAATCTAATTTTTGAAAAAAGGAAAAAGGAGACATTAAAGATACCGCATATTATTGTTATGAGAAGCCAAATTGTAACTTCAGAGACAATAAATATATTGGTGCATACTTTGTTAACAAATATTGCTATTAAAGATTGTTAAATAGTGTTTTATGTCGAGATGATATTAAAAGGAATATCTTTATATTGATTGTATCTTACTAAGCACACAGTCATATAAGATGATCACTTGAATGGCTACGAAGACATAATATACCATAATAGACACAAGCTTTCATAGATTTGGTATTTAAATTGGACTATCACTCACTGGATAGTGGATATAATCATGACCGGGAAATTTCAAGTACAAAAGACACCGAACCACATTTTTCACATTGATTTCTGCACGCAAATAACCTACCTTGTGACTGAGAATCAGATTGCTCCTCCGAAAGTTCACTAGCAACTAGCTTTGCTCTTCGATCTACAACTTCAAATAAATCTGGTCCAAAAAAAAAAAAAATTACCTTCAATTACTATCAAATCCGTAAAAGGAAATGTCGATGCTATCTTTACTGATGGATAGTTTAGAGCAACAATGAGATGCAAAAGCACATGATAAGTCCCTAGAGATTTTGCAAAAGTACTAGAGGTTCAGACTTCAGACCATAGCAATGTCACCCCTTGCATGCCTTCATATGGACTGTCTATAGAGAATACTTTACCAATAAAAATGGGCAATATCTGAAAAATCAACATGCAGGGGAGAAAATAGATGAAAAACCAACAAATGCATGGACCTTTCTCATACTCAATTACTCACTCTAGAGGACGCCATGGGAGTCAAACAGAAACCGAAAATTTTAGTTTGAATTTTTTATTTTCTATGGAAAGAAGAACATCAGTGCTTCCAAGTTCCAAGTAACAATGAAATTCTCAAACACGGATGCAAAATCTTCTATAGCATTTTTTTGGATAGATCGATCTTGAAAAAGCTTATGACCAAATTCGTTGGGATTTCCTTGACGATACTCTTACTCGGTGTGGTTTTCCTCAGAAGTGGATTAATCTCCTCCTATTTTGTGTTCGAAACTCCAAACTGTCTGTACTTTGGAATGGTAAAAAGATGGATTTTTTTAGTCCTTCCCGGGGGTTTACGTCAAGGCGACCCTATCTCTCCATACTTGTTTGTCTTATGTATGGAGAGACTTGGTTATTTAATTCAAGATGCTGTGGATAAAAGCTTGTGGAAACCAATCAAACCTGGATGGAATGGTCCTTATATTTCTCATCTCTTCTTCGCGGATGATTTGTTCTTATTCGGGAGAGCTAGTGTTCATCATACTAATGTGTTTAAGGATATTCTTGATAAATTTTACGATGCTTCTGGTGCAAAAGTGAGTTTTGAAAAATCTAAATTCTTTATTTCCCCATCCTCTAGATCGGGAAGTGATCGAAGATTCGGTCAAATTGTGAATATGAGCGCTACCTCGGAGTTGGGTAAGTATCTTGGCGTGTCTTTGATCCATAGTCGTGTTTCAAAATCAGTCTACTGTGAAATTGTTGACAAAGACAAGTTAAGGTTATATAGTTGGAAAGCTAGCTCTCTTTCAGCTATGGGAAGAACTATTCTTATAAGTTCGGTTACCTCTGCTGTACCAACCTACATCATGATGACTTCTAAGTTGCCGAGTAGTATTGTGAATGAAATTGATAAAGTGAACCGAGGGTTCTTATGAGGGAGTAGGGCTGAGAAACGTGCCCCTCACTTGGTTGCATGGGAGGAAGTTTGCAAACCAAAACGTTTCGGCGGCTTGAGTTTCGTACAATGGAAACTCATAATGCTGTTCTTCTCCAAAAAAACAGCATGGAGATTCTAACCCAACCGGACAGCTTGTGGGTGCGTGCTCTCAGAGGCCTCTAAGGCGTCCGGGGTGATCCAATTTCTTTTGCTATGGATCTTTCGCGGCCGACCTCATCGTGGTCTCATTCTTGGAGAAGCATAATCTTTGGCCTTCGAGGTCTGGGAACAGGTTTGATTAAACGCATAGGTAATGGGCAGGAGACTTTATTCTGGATGGATAACTGGCTTGGCAAACCCCTTTTCCAGAATACTGCTGCTCGGCCTCAGTTTGCTGATACAAATGCAAAAGTTTGCGACTTCTTCAATTCGGATAACAGCTGGGATCTTACCAAAATCTTTGCCGTTCTCCCCATGGATATCACGACTGAAAGTATAGGTTATCCCCTCCCCAATTTCATTATCATGCAAGATAAATTTGTTTGGAAACACACGGCAAATGGTAAGTTACTACTCATTCGGCTTACTTTGCTCTCAACATTGATAACCATGGCAATCCGGATGTTGATTTCTCATGGATTTGGAAATTGCCGATCATCCCCAAATGGAAGTTCTTTGTTTGGTTAGCTTGGCGTGATAGATTACCAACGCTCGACTGGCTTCTTGGGGTATTTCTAATACTGCTGGCTGCAAAGCTTGTGGGTGTCTCGTGAAAGCTTGATTCACATTTTAAGAGACTGTGTTGTTGCTTGTAAAATATGGAATCGTTGTATTGAGGGAGCGAGGCGGAGTAGCTTTTGGTCACAAGAGCCGCGTGTTTGGATTAATGAGAACCTGGATGTTTCTAAAAATTCTCAAGAAGAGGTCATCCTTTTTGCTTGTATTATATGGAAACTTTATATCGAGCGTTGTAAGAGGATTTTTGGACCTGAGGACCATATCTATGATGAATTTGGTGTTTGGCGCAGTGTGATCTTGCTTAGAAATGAGCAGCTACAAGTCCACAGCAAACCCCCCCCCCCGGGGGGTGTTTCGAATGTTCCCAAGCTAGTGATGTGGCGCCCCCCTTCGGTTGGTAGAGTAAAGGAACACCGATGGAGCTAGTCAAGGCAATCCGGGTATAGCTGGAGCGGGCGGTCTCCTTCGTAGTGAATATGGAGATTGGATTATGAAATTTACAGACATCTAGGCGTTTGTTCAAGTGTGGCAGCGGAGCTCTTTGCCATAAGGCTTGGGTTATCTATTGCTTGGAAGTACGGCTACAGCTACATCAAATGCGACGTGGATGCTCAAGCTGTACTCCAACTTAATGTCTGGCGACACCCACAACCATCCCCTTGGATCAATCCTTGAAGATATCCGGGATCTTAAAGCTCGGAATTGGATCCTAAGGTTTCAACATACCTTTTGTGAAGGAAATTTCTGTGCCGATGTCCTCTCGAAAATGGGCTGCACTCTTGATGAAGATATTGTTATTTTTGATTCCCCAGGAACTTTACTTAGCAATAACTTGTTTCGTTCTTTCCCTTTGTAAACAAAAAAATAGATGTGAATAAAATAAATTCTTAAATTTTCCTCAACATATCAAATCATATTTTTATTTAATATGTATATATTTAATTAAATTGATCATTTAATAACTTTAAATATATATTTTATCATTTTTAAATATTTGTGCTACTATGTTATAATTGATATCATTTTTTCATATATTATAATCATGAATCCTATTTAAAACTTAATTTATTCTCATAACAAGTTTTTATATTTCGACAGTTAGCCTTTGATTATTGGGTACTTTAATATACTAAATTCATCTACCATCTATTGGATTGATTCAAATCAAATTGATTTAAATAGAAATATTTTATACAAATCTAATGATCCCTCCTGCTATGCCTTGCCCTTTTGTTTGATACTGATTGCTAATCCATTATTGGGCTTAATTTTGGACAGTTTAATTGAATCAAATTGCTGCACTGGTCAATAGAATATATTGTTCACACCTTCATGCTTCAATTATATATATTATAAAATGTGAAAATATAATTAAAATAAAAATAAAAATAATAAATGTTAGATTTTTTTACTAACGCGTTTAAAAATTACAATAATCAAATTACTGCGTTATTACGTATATTTCAGTGGTTAAAGGGAATGTTGTTCTTCCTAGAGATTTTGGGTTCGGACAGTTGCGTCTGCAACATGTGACGTTATTAATTGGTTAATAAAGTTATGAATATATACTACTTGTAATCATCTCAGGCTATTTAAAATTTATATATGTTATAAAATATATTATGAAAGAAAACTAGGATACAATTGAGAAAAGAGATAAATATTGAGGGCTTTCCATTATGTCTCAAATTTGTTTCAATCTTTGAAGCCCAAAAAAGGAAAACCAAAAACCAAAGTAGTCGAAATCAAAACATGTTACTCTTGAAGAGGACCGTCGATAAAGTTTGGACCCTTTTGGAAAACGGGACCAGCCTGCAACCAAGAAATTGCAGCAATGGTGACAGGATTGTCATTTTAACATTTATAGTTTTTTTTTCTTCTTCTCAATTTTAATATTTTCAATAATTAATAATAATATCATCTATATAACGTCCCACATTATTTAATACGATTAAAGATTTCATACAATTAGGATCGTAATTTAGAACATTGATTGGCAATAGCCGACAGTCACTGTTGATTGGTCAGTTTTCTTCACCTTTCAACGCCAGCACCTCCCTTGATCGATATTTGGGTCAGTTTTGGACAGTGACAGTCACATCCTCGGTGCACGGTCCCCGGCGGTGTATCGGCCTCCCCGTGCTGCCGTTGTATCATCAAACTTTGATTAATTACACCACGTGACCTTCATTCTTCATGTTTAAGTTAGAAGGCGTTAAACTGAATTCAGTGTCTAATTAAAATCCATTTTCATTCATAAAATAGAAAAAAATGAAAATATCAAAATGTTCCAGAAAATAGCTAATAACTAGTTTATAAATGGAGGCATTGAATTGGTTGATGGTTCAAATCAAAATGCTATGATTAAAGAAGGCTTATGCTTAATCAAACTTTTGGATGGAAGCAACAGTTTCCCTTTAATATAGCTCCAAAGATATATTTCCTTTTTTGCTAAAAGTACAAATCGGTAATCATGATTGATGTTCATTGTTCAATTAGATTAGCCACACACAGTGTCAATTTTCATTATTGAAATTCAATATGAGTGATGAGTTTTAATAATATATAATTAATATTTCTTTTAAAATCAATAAAATGTTTTTAAAAAATTAATAGAAATGACTAGTTTTATTAAAAAAATAAAATATCTAAAACTATAACAAAAGTTTACAACCTTAAGTGTAAACTAAACATATAACTAGAACATTTTTTTATAACTTTTACACACAAAAATATTAACTTGATATCATACAATGATTATATAAGAAAAATATTAAAAATATGTCCAAAAATTTGAATAAAATTTTAATATAAAACCGTAATTATAATTATTATCATTGAATTTATAATGATGTAAATTTTGTAATAAAAAATCAACTTAAAAAATACATTTTAATCAATCTTTAGAGGAAATCCCTTCAATTGATGTGGATTTATTGAAAAGAGGGAAGGTATTTGTAAACTTGGGCCATAACCCAAAAGTAAAACTTCCTAGGTGTCATCTTGTTTTTGGCCCTCGGGGTTCAAGCCGAATGCTAATGATTCAACTTACTTTATGAATAGTTAATTTACTGTTATTTTTTCATAAAAGTTTATGTTTTAGTAGTTATATCTATAGAGTATATATATGCATTATAGAAATGATAATCCAGCTCAGTTGGTAGAGCACAAGGTTTTTTACCTTGAATTCGTGGGATCGAGTCTCATGGAAGGTATTTTATAATTTTGGAGGTCTTCTACGGAAGCTGTTCTCAACCTAGTGTTGGGGACAACCTACTATCTTACCTCCCCTTACCACATTACATATGAGAACAAAGAACAACCATTTATATATACGCATTATAGATAACTGAGAAAGATTATGATATTTTCATTGAAAGCCCTAATACGATGACAAACTATAATATTTTCCAATTAAAAAAAGTGACCTCTTATAACAATTCAACGGTCCAATATGTAAATGAAAATTCGAACTTTCAATCGTTGGATTGTAGCAAGAATTTCAACTTTAATGTTGTCAAGTCTTGATATCAAGTTCTACTCCTTTGAATTTATCATTTACATTTATCAACAACAGTATTTACAAGATTGAAAGATTTAATAGTTTGATCGAATTTGAAATTCTAGAGAACTTAGATATTAATAATTGTTATAATTCAAAGTTGGTGTCTGTCCTTAATGGTTGTTTAGTTTTTAAAGATGTAAGGCTGAGGTATGTCCCATGCTATGATGTCCAATGAGGTTGTATGCACCGGTCGGCAATTTGTTCTGTTTCACCCTAAGGTGCACTCTTTTTCTTCCGAATAGGATCATGGAAGTTTTTTAATGAGGTTCTTAGGGTGGTTATTTTGTTATTTTTATAATACAAAGTATCCTTTTACAAAAAAAAATTATTATAATTCAGGAGACGAATACGATATAACCATAATGTACTACGTTGTCTCATTAATATATGTAATAATGAAGTGATTAAATACAATCTTTAGTAAATTTAATAATTCATGATCAAAACAATCAAAAAGAAACTCATTTAAATACTATTAAAGTATTAATGCACTTGTCTTTAATAACATTAATCCCTGATAATAATTAAATCGAAAATTTTATAGTGATCGAAATAAGAACTTTTTAAAAAAATTCTCCCTCAAATATTTTTTTTAGTAAATATACTAAATGTGTTTTATTAACAAATGTGTAAGAATACTGATCAATAAACATTATTTTAACCATGATAGTGTTCCCTAATTGAATAATTTTTGCATCCAATTTTGCTTCAAGACACAATTCTTTCTACTTAGGAAAGAAAATGATACTTCACCCGTATTATATTTCGTCCTAAATTCAAATACCGATTTAATTTAAATTCTATGTTTGGAATTTTAATTTAATTTTATGATGTATTATGGTTAATGTCATCGTATAAACTTTATTTAATGATTAAAATATAAACTTTTAAAAA